GCCCGAGGGGCGGGACGGGACGGCTGCAGGAGGGGGCGGCTTAGAAATCGCTGGAGGAATTACAGGGTTTGGGGCTTTCTTGGGGTTTTCTCTGGGACTCGTTCGGACGCAGAGCGTTATCCAGGAGGCTTAGGCCATGCTGGAGCCTTTCCCCTCTCTGCTGCTGCAGGCGCTGGGTCTGTGGAGAGCTGCAATGGTGTTACCTGCAATAATTCGGTGCTTTCCAGGCCTCTCCCATCCTATATCGTCTCGATCGGGCTGCTGAGGGATGTTAATGCAAGCTGACTGCATTCCTAGCCAAAAAAAAAAAAAAAAAGCTGTTTTCAAGACAAAAGTTCACATCATCCCCGGGCAGGTAGTTGTTTTGCTTGTGTAGGAGCTGTCTAAGAGATGGATGGAAGGGAGCGATGGCTCTCCTCGGCTACCCCACCTGCGCTCGCTGGGGTCGCACTCCTTCCGGACACCAACCCCTGAGTGCCGCAGCGGGTCCTGACTCTGCCCTGGTGTCTTGCAGGGAAGGAAGCCCAGAAAGGGCCTCTGCTCTTCGACGATCTCCCACCAGCCAGCAGTGTTGACTCAGGTATGGGTGCTCCATTCCTGCCATTAGTTCGGCTTCCCGTATTGTTCTGCATCAAACATCAGGATGCTTCTCTTGAGGTGAAACTTGGATAAACCCTTTTCTTTGTTAGGCAAGAGAAAGACAGACTAGCAGCACTGGCATGCAGAGGCGGCTGCTTGCCTCTTTTTGTGGTGTTTTTTTTTTTTTTTTCAGGTAACCAGAATGTTAAAGATATTCCACATATATTCCCTAATATGTTCTGTATAAACGTGCCATGAAATGAATGCAAGGCCTGAGTTTGCCCCCACCACCCAGTAACAGAAGCTGAAATTTGGCATTTTATCAGTTTCACACCTTGGGAGGGGCATACACAGAGCGTTATTCCCTCAAAGGGACGAAAGTGTTCAGTTGTTCTTGCCTTTTTCTTGTGCTCCAGGAAAAGGAGGCTCTCTGCTCTTCGATGATCTTCCACCAGCCAGCAGCGGTGACACAGGTAAGGAGCTGTGTCAGCTCACCAAGCCCCTGCTGACCTGCCCTTCTCAGGAAAGCCCGCCGATGTCGCCTGTTGTGTTGGATGTGTGGCAAGTTAACCTGGTGTTCCAGGTTGGCTGATGCTGGTCGTGGCGAGCTGTTTGTGCCCCAGTTGTTTAAATTGGGATTCAGACTTAGGTCTGTTTCCAGAAGTACATCCTTCAAGTGTGTTTTGGGGACC